CTCTGCTGGAATATCTATTCCAAATGCTGAAGAATCCTATTACAAAAGGCTGTGGAATCTGTAATCGTAAGGTTAAGACCTCCATTTTCGAAGTATCAAAGTCTGAGACAAGGACGCAATCGCAACGTGGGTTTAAGTTCGTTTTGAATTCACGTATTGCTTTGTAAGCCACACTTTACTTTACTTTTAGAGCAGGAAAGAGAAGTACATTGTCAGAATTCATAGATAATGGTTGCTACCGGAGCACAGGTGAGAAGGGAATCATAGGTTAATTTATTGTTGTGGGAGAAGTGCTGGAAACCCCTATGTTCTTCATCCCTGCAAGTTATCTTGTAATCATGCCATCCAGGAAAATAACTCAGTGAGGAAAGGCTGTTCAGGGTGCAAAAGACTTCATTAAAAAGGAATGTTTACAGCTTTTTTAGATCATTTCTATCCTCCCTGTATGATACTCATTTTAGCTACTTTCTTGGCTGTTCTTCATAGGCAGATGTGTTGAATTAAACTAAAGATGCTTCAGTTGTTTGAGTATTGACTGACAGTGGGTGACCTGATTTCACTGACATCTTCAGTGTCTCGTATGGTCTTGGATAAGATCCCTCTATATTAATTTCCTATTGAGTAGAGTAGGGATGTCTTACAAAGAGGTTGTGAAGAAAAATCATACCAAAATTTTGTGGAGCTCTCAGCAACTGCAAAATCGGCGGCTGCATAAAGTAACTTGAGATAAGGCTATAATACATTTTTTTCTGCTTGCTAATAATTTTGGGAACTTTACCTCATAAAGTGTCAGTAAAGTGTGCATGTCTGAAGTATTCAGTAGTACTTCACCATCTGATCAGGTAGTCCGTGGGGTAGAAGTTCTCCATCCTGTTTTGTGGGAGGTGGATTTTCAGCTTTTCTTCTCTAAGCTTTGTAAGCTTTTCTTTTTTCTTTTTCATCTGCTGTGCACAGGGATTATGTCTTGCTCAAGCTAAAGTTATGTCTTCATTAGAACCGTGAGCCAACTCATGCTATCATTTATAGTTTACAAAAATATTTGCCCTTTCTGTTTTATAAATTAAAAGCTTGTACAACGTACAAGCAGTGTGCATGATCCATTAGCTTCAAACATTTAAACTATAAGATAATTGAGGGCTCTAGTCACTTCTTAATTAAAATAGTCTGGAAACATTCCATTTAATGACTTCATAAGTGGCATCTAAAAATCTACTTCCAGCTTTTTTGGTGTTATATTAAATTACAACGGCCTTGTCTGCTGAAAGCCATCCTGAAAAGTTGTCTTTATACTGATTTTTATAGGTCTATGTGAATGAGTTGAATGCATCTGCATACAGAAATCAGAGTACATAGGCAATTTTATTACAAGAGACATAGAAGAGACTGTCATCATCCCTTTGGGTCTTTGTTTATTGTTTAGGGATGCTTACAACAAATGAATTTCGTGCAAATACAGAATCAGTGTTTTGGGTTTTTTTTTTTTTTGCCTTTTCATATATATACTTTGTGTGTGTATCTCCCTGGAGCGCCCCTGTAAGTGAAGTGAGGCAGGGCTCTTACGTGGGGAAATGTAGTCCGGGAGCACTGGACCATCCTCACATTGGCAGACTAGTGGGTGAGGTTCCCCATCTATCCAAGTAAATTACATAAAGTATTGACTCGGACAAATCTGGTTTATCACTGAGCAATTGGATCATTTGAGCTGAAAAAAACCGCCATTGGCATTTCGGTGACCAGTTATTTAGCTTTTTGCATTTAGAATTGTGTCTCTGCTTTACCTAACATCAAAATACAGTCATTAAGAGGGGAATAAAAAGCTCTCTGATTTGGTAAATTGAAACAAATGTTTTGCATTACAGGAACCCAGTGGTCAAAGTGTAAATATAAGCTCAGCTTGTGGGTAGATTTTCAAGTTTCAGCACTTGCTAAGGCATGCATTGTGTTCTACTCAGAAAAATAGGGAATTTTAGTTATTTGGTGGTGTTTTATTTTGTTTTGCCCTTTTAAGAAACTTTTTATGGAAGCATATCAGTTCCAGGAGATTTTTGCTAAAAATGTATCTCAGATCCAGAGTGTAATTTTAGAGAGAGGCAGCAGAATAGTTTTGCAAACAGAGACTTAATATGAAAACTTTAATTTGAATTCCGAAGATTCAGATCAACAAGGAAAAGTGAAAGAATTGGAAAAGTCTAGAAGAGAGGAGCCATAGTAATGATTTGCAAATACATTAAAAATTCCTGCAAAAAATAAAAAATGACCTGTATGTCCATGAGTGACAGAACAAAAAATAACAAACTGAACTTGCACTGCATGAAATTTAAGAGACGTTAGGAAGAACTTTCAAACGGTAGCAGTAGGGAATAGGGGCGCATATGGAGACTTCCTGATACAAGGACGAATAATATATTCCCATCAGAAATTAGAAAAACAGAAGAGTCTGTTACTCACTGGAGATACAAAAGTCTTCGTAATCCTTTTTTTTTCCCTAAACGCTTTTGTACCACTGAATTTCTGTATGAGTCCTAAAATATACTGTCAAGGAAGGAAAAAAGCAGAATTTTAAATCTGTAGCCTATACTGTGTTTCTAAGCTTGGTGAAAATAAACATTTCAGTATGCTTTCACACACTGTATTTCACACCCTGATGCTATATGCAAAAGCAATTGGATGCTAACTTTACTTAGAATATGAATGTAAGTACTGTAGAATAGAGGAAAGTGATTGTACAACAAAGCATCTTCAGAGAAAGATGTATGCCGAGAAGGAATACAGTATAGTTATATTCTGCAAGGTACTGTCGTAAAGACTTCATCTTTTTCTGGTGCTACACCCAGAATTAAACCTGAGCGAGATCAGAGGTCAGAGCACCGATATCTTTAAGGACAAGATTCATTTAGATGGATTCAAATTTAGCTAATCACTCACCAGTGAAATAGGTAAGAATCTGTAAATTGATTTAGAAAGTGTCATTTTATAGATTTAATTTAATAGATTTAATTTTAAGGGCCTTAGTGCTGACATCTTCTGTTTCACTACTCAAAATTTGGAAAGAGCTGGTGAAACGCCAGTAGAAAAATGTATTGATGGATGTTTAACCATGGTGCATCTTGTGACCGCACACACGATTCTGAATTGCAGAGCGGATGGTGCATGATCTTTTACCCAGAGGGTCATGCGTAGCTTACAGTGCACGTTTGTTTCCTAAACTATGATAAATCAGGCAGCAGTTTGTACAGAAATCACAGACAAATTAAAAGCACTGGTACTATATCCAGAACTGCATATATATAGAACAGTATAATAGTTATCTGAGGTCTCACAGGAACATGGCTTTAAATTTCTTGATGGTAAAATACTGTTGTTAGTGATCACCTGCTGATGCTGTCTTTCTAGTCTTAAAGATTGGACTGGAACCATTCAGGTGTGCTCCTAAGATTTTCCTAAGAAAATCTTGCAGTGTTGAATCATGCTATGACCGAATAGCCACCATGGTCATCCCCAGACCACTGGAAAATCATTCCTGATCCTCACTCCAGGTGTTAATTATGGTGAAAACTGAGTCATTAGCACAAACATGCACCTGGAGCTGTTAAAGTAGTGTATTTCTTAAAACAGGAATATTGGTGAATGCCCACTGGAAGTAGCTTCTTGCAATTACTTTTGAGTTGGATACCTGTGTCGGATGTTGGCGATATCTGTGCCAGTATAGAGGTTTTTGACAACCTTCATTGCAAAATGTCACCATTACTAGGAGCCTAGATATCTACATAATTGTCTCATGCTAAAGAGACTCCATGAGAGTTTGCTCCATGTCCTTCAACCTGTACTGAGAACATTAGAGATTGTAAAAGTGACTAACTGAAAAAAATAATGAAGAAATATGAAATCTGAGTTAGATTATGGTTTCACTGAAAATATTTTTCTAGAAAGTTCCACCAGTCTTTTGCAAGCAAAAACTGTATCCCAGGGCAAAGATTTCTGAGCAAATCTGTTCAAATAGGGCTTACTTTCTAAATGATTGCCTTACTTAGAAAGGTAAACTTCTCCCATCTCAAACCATCAGAAGGTTTACTGTGAACCATGGATATCAGTCCACAAGTTTTTGTGATGGGAAGCAAGAGGATTTTTCAAAAGATCTTTAACAAAGCCTCCTTCGCTCTCCTATTAGACTGCCTTGCTTGCAGTCAGGAAAACATTGTGTTTTTCCAGAATAGTGTATAGAGCAATGTCTCAGAGAAAGTCGATGGTTAAAGGAAAGCAATGGACTGTTAATGTTTTATCTTCTAATATAAGCTGTAGATGTGCTATATAAAAATCATCAAACTTAACTGGAATAAGCTTTATAGTAGGAAAATAATTGATTTTTTGATTTTAAAATATAAGAAAACTATGATGGAGACTGCAGTAGATTCAGTGAGAAAATGGCATGATATTTTAGAATCATGACAAGTTAATGTCCGAATCAACATCTTTGTACAAAATTTCAGGAAAAAATAAAGACGCTTTAAATCTAAGGGCACATTCTGTACTTAGTAGAATTGTAGGTTATGCATACATGTTATAGAAGCCAAGTCCTAAATATCAAATAGGCAGGTCAAAATATTTGAAGGACTTCTTGAAATTTGAATAGCTTTGAACAAAATAGCACAGAGTTAAATTCATATCTGCGATTCCCATGATCTGTAATTCTTCACACCTGAGAAAAATTTAGCAGTTTCAAAATATATCCAGGCACTATGTGTTGAGTAATATTTAACATGAGAAAGAGTGATTTTTGAGCTGGATTTTGTAAAACACAAGCTATTGTAATGTGTCTGTGAATTAAAGAATGTGAAACATGCCAATATGATAGACAGCTTAATACTGTACTAACAGTCATTACCGTGGAAGCATTGTACTGACAAAAGCAGAGGTGCCTTCCACAAAGAACCCAGCATCTAAATTGTGCATATAGAGAATTTTCTAATGCTTTGTATTCTTTTCTGTTTTTTGTTCCCTAGAGTATCAGGGCTTCAGGGCTGGTTCTTTTGGAAACCATTCTTTTTGGATCACTCCTTCTGTACTTCCCGGTAAGTTAAACTATAACCCTTTTGAAAAGTGTTATCCTTATCAACACTATAAAGCATTACATGAATTACTTTGATGACAAATATAAATATTGAAACTTTCTATGTGATGATTAGTCTAATCTGGTTAACAAAATGTGTTGTGTGCTTGTAAGTATTCTTGAGAGCATTTGAATGTTTTGCTATATTTGGGATAATTCTCCATTTTCAGTTTAGGGAACACTTAAGTGTTTTTTATTACAGAAGTTTTTAGTTATTCTCTTGTCTTTTCCTGGGTTAAACTGAGTATTAGCTGTGAAAGAAGATACCTCTCTATACTGTGCTAGGGGAAGAATATGCAGAGCGTGCAAAAGAAACACACTGACATACTTAGTATTTCTCTAGAATGTAGTGTAAAGAATCATTATTTCAATGTATTTCGGGCATATATTTTTTTCAGTGTTTCTGAAGCTACATGACATTGGGAATATCTGGTGTTTGGGAAAATGAGATGGTATTGTCCATATGCTGTAAATGGGGGGAAAAAAAACATTTGCAGGGGAATGTATCGTGAAAGTCATAGAAAAGTATATTTTTTTCTTCTTGGAAATGTGAGAATACCTGAGGAAATTTTTTGCCACATAAATCCAGTATAAAGACTGGATAAAGAAGATATCAAAGTGTAAGTGGAGTAAGTGAATGGAAAGTGCACAGATCAGGAGGAGACAGAAACAAAGGTGGAGTTGTGGATTATTGTAAAATACGTTTATGTTCCATTTCCCTGAGTAGTCAGAACCTTCTGTGCTGTCACAGACCATGGTCCAGTTACTGGGAAACTAGCAGGAAAGCAAATCTCCTTAGTCTTTGTGGAACAAATTGCAGATAAACTGGAGTAAAGTAAGGTGTGAGGAATGCTGTAAGAAATATAAGTCCCACTGGAATTTTTATACATTGTTTTTCAATTGTGTTGGTCTGTCAAGTTATAAAGAAGAAACGCATGCATTTCTAGAATAGTTTTTTGTGGGTTTTCATCTTTCAATTTGCAGTTGTCAGGAAGAAAGTTTTGTTTTTATCATACTGTACAAATGCTTTTTGCTTCTTGCAGTACCTCTTCCCTGGGTTTTCAGAGCTTCCTTCATATTCTTTTCAAGCGAGGAGAGCAGAAAGCCCATGCTTCACTTCCTTAACTGGTGTAGAAATGGTGTAAAGCATTTACAGAAATGCATGGCATAAAGCATAATGGCATAAGGGCTTTCCTTTCTGTGGCTGTCCCCCATTGGCTTTCCCAGTTACGCGGAGAGTCCTGGAGCTGTTCAGTTGTTTCCTGAGGCAGAAGCTCTAGAAGAACTAACCGATATTTCTACAACACTGACCCTAGAGGATGCCAAAAGCGTTTTCTTAGCCAATTCAGCTCGTGCTGTGCTATGTCTGCAAATTGCTCCCCTGTGACTGATTCTTCAGTTTCTTTCCCAGTTTTTATCTTGATCTCGTAATTTCGACTGTGACATCATATTCCATTCAGGATAAATGTCCTGCAGTGACTGTCCACAGGCTTCAGCAGCTCCGTATTAGGGATACTTAGCTAATGGCAGTGGAAGAGGATTTCTTCTCTGTCACCAGTTGCCTTGAAGAAGCATATCCTGTTAGATGCAGGAGTTGGCCTTTCACCACCTTTCAACACAGAGGGAAAGGAGAATGGAGGTGGGAGGGGGGTTAGAAAACTGAAACTTCCCTTCATTTTTTTGTTGATATTTAAACAACATTTTCCCCCTTTTCACTGACGTTAAGAATGTTAAATGTGCAGCAAGCACAAAATGACAGTTTGGCATTATGTGATGAAAAATGTTTTGCTGAAAATTCCTGATTACCCTGTCTCCCAGCTGGGATACGGATATTTGACTAGAGCTTGTTCTTCTCTGCAGATCTCATTCTCATATTATATAAGACTGTCCACTGATAACACATTCTGTTAGGAACTAAAATGCAAAGCATATGACCTGACTCTCCTGGTTTAG